CAGGAATGCTGCAGTGGGGTCCTTGCCTATGGCAAGAAACTGGAAGGGTCTGGCAATCTCTTCTTTGTCCTTATCTTCTCCCTGAATCCCTTCTGTCCCTTTAAAATCCCACAACTAAGCTGGAAATCCTGTTGTTGGTCTTGCACTTGCTGGGAGATGCAGTGTATGTGCCTCTCACCATGGCTGCTTATCTCCTCCTTGTGGTTGGTGGATTCTATATGCTGAGAAGCTACCCAGCAAGCAGAAGCACTGCTGAAAATGTGTGGTCTTAAATCTTTGAGGTGGAGGTGCTGGCTTGAGGTACATGAGGGGTTTGAAGACCTTCCTCTCATAGCCTGATGAGTACAGTGAGGCTGAGGTTGAGTTACAGTGGTGGTTGGAAGCAGAGACAGAGGCTTTGCAAGCTCTTGACATAAGAGCTTACTGTGTCAGAAGCCAAGTCTTGTCTCCTCATGACCGCAGAGGACTAGACCAGACTTGAAGCAGAGCAGCATTCCCCACATCTGGAAGAGGTCGGGCTGGAGTTCCTGGTGTCTATTGCACAGGTGGAATTTCCAGAAGGAATTAATCTGCTCGAGCAAGAGCCAAGTTTAGATGTTTCCTACAACTTCCTGAAAATCTCTAGTTCAAAACCTGAACTCAGAAGTTTAAACAAAGAACTACTGAAGAAACACGTTGCTGGCCAGACTGCCAGATGAGTGCATTCAATGGGTTCATTCAGTGTCTTCTTTTTCGGTCTTTCCAAGTGCTGAGTTAACTTTTTTAGGGGATAAGGCATCTGAAGGAGAGGGTTGGGGCTACATGATGCACTGCACAGTGGTTCTTTGTTAACTGGGAGATGCAGAGTGTGCAGGAAAAGGACCCCTTGGTATCAGTGTTCAGGTCACTAGTGGTGATGAAATTTTGTGGATCTGCACTGATTTGGAAAGAAACAAAGGTGAGCTGTGGAAAGGGACACAGGAGGTGCAGTTGCTAACCCAGCAGGAGTGGTGGGAGCTCTCAGGGAGCCGCGCTTTTCCAGGCTAGTTCAGGACCAGCCAGGAGGCAGGCCAAAGGCAAAGGCATGATTCCCACATGGTGTCAGTGGAAGAGTCATGCTGGGGCTGTTCTGGAGTGACAACACTGATCAAACAGGGAATTGTGAAAGCTGGTGGAAAGGAGGATAACCCCAAGGACACAGCAGTGTGAGAGCACAGAACGTGTAGGGGAACAGAGGAGTTGGGGTGACAATGTGCACTCATGTACTTGTTAAAATACCATTGAATCCCCAGCAGTGATTTAAATCACACAGTTAAGAGTGTTCCAGGCTGTGTCACCAGCTCCCGCACCAGGATGGTGGCTGCCATGTGCTGGGGAGATTGGACAGCCTGCAGCAGGAGACACTTCTATCCACCACTGCAATCGGGGTGAAGCGTTGTGGCAGCGTGTGAGGCAGTGACTAAACTGCTAGAGGCTCTAGGTGCCATTTTGAAGAAACTCGCTGGAAAATCCCCAAAATATTTTCATCCTAGATGATGCATGGATTAATGTATGAGATGTAGTTACTGAACGATAATGCATTCAAACTCAATGTCCTTCCGTAACAGAAACAGACAAAAAAGTGCATTTACCGTCATAGTATCCAGCTTTGAAGTTAAAACTACGTGAAAATGG